CTAAATGTTAACTGGCTCTACTCCCCTAATATTAAACATAAAAACCGCATGGGAAATATAGAAATTCTAATAGAAGTAACATAAACCTGTCATAAATTGTAAACAAAAAACTGTTTGTGGGACAGCATGGATGACAAATGGTCTACTGTGTAAATTTTAGAATGAGGCAGACAAAAGTTGGAAGACCGGTTAATTTTCCCCTCCTCCTGCTTCAGCTTTGTTTTCTCGGGTATCCGATGTCCATAATGTCAAATTGTCTCTCAGTAATTGCATTATTAGCATGCTGTCTTTCTATGACTCTTCACTTAATGTATCAAGTTCAGCAATGTCTTCATCAAAAGCTGTCTTTGCAAGAGAGCAGGCTTTCTCTGGGGAGTTCAGAATCTCATAATAGAACACAGAGAAGTTAAGGGCGAGACCCAGTCTGATAGGCTACATATCCACATTTTAAAACACAAATGACAATTTACATAGCCCTTGTACTGTGAAAACTGCATGTAAAACCACTGATTGATCCTTTCCTACGTTAGAAATTTTTCCTTTTGCCTAAGAGTGAGTCTTAACAGAGCAAAATGTATTCTGATCCTAGGTCCCCAGACCCTGAAAGGAGATGACCGGTTTTGTCCCCAGATTCAAAATGCACAAGATGGACAAATGCACAAGATGGACAACTCTCTATGAGTTGTTCACAGAGAAACTGCCAGCAGGGCTGGATTTTTCTTTTTCTTTTTCTTTTTTTTTTTTGAGACGGAGTCTCGCTCTGTCGCCCAGGCTGGAGTGCAGTGGCCGGATCTCAGCTCACTGCAAGCTCCGCCTCCCGGGTTCACGCCATTCTCCTGCCTCAGCCTCCCAAGTAGCTAGGACTACAGGCGTCTGCCACCTCGCCTGGCTAGTTTTTTGTAATTTTTACTAGAGACAGGGTTTCACCTTAGCCAGGATGGTCTCGATCTCCTGACCTCGTGATTCGCCTGTCTCGGCCTCCCAAAGTGCTGGGATTACAGGCTTGAGCCACCGCGCCCGGCCAAGGGCTGGATTTTTCTATCCCTGGGGTGCTGTGCAACCACTTTGTAGTCCAGTTGTGTTCTTTCAATTAAGATAATTTCATTATTTCTGTACCTAATGTACCTCTAACTGGGATGGAAATGAACAAATTTCCCAGTTCTCATTCTTGGGAGTGAACATTTGCATCTACCAGCAGGGGGTGCCAGTTTGCAAATCTAGGAAATCCCCAGACCAGACTCAAATTCTTGGCCAGAAGTGCCAACCCCCTGAGGAACCCACAGGGTAGAAATGTGTAATTAATGGCTGGGTGTGGTGGCCCACACCTGTAATCCTAGCCCTTTGGGAGGCCAAGGCAGGAAAATTGCTTGAGCCCAGGAGTTCGGGACCAGCCCAGGCAATATAGGGAGACCCTGTCTCTACAGTAAATAGATAAATAAATAAATAAATAAATAAATAAATAATTTTATTTATTTCTTTTTAAAGAAGAAATGTGCGGTCAACCTATTACCTTACTGCTTTTTCCATTTAGACTTTGGAGTAAAATCTCTTACCATATTTTGAGCAGTCAAAACACCCATACCACTCTGAACAAATGGTTTATTCCACATTGGGCCTTGAATTAAGAATTGCTTAATTAAGAAAAGGTTTCTTTCCACATGTAACTAATCAAAGAATGTTGGATAGTCATGGTCAAATAATCCTAGTAGGGTTTACATTGTACTCTTTTGGCAAATACAATAGCTCATTAGAGATGGAAAATATCTTTTTATTTTTTGGTCACTCAGGCTGGAGTACAGTGGTATGCTCTGGTCACTGCAACCTCGCCTCCCAGTTTCAAGTGATTCTCCTGCTTCAGTCTCCCTTGTAGCTGGGATTACAGGCAGGCGCCACCATACCTGGCTAATTTTTGTATTTTTAGTAGAGACAGAGTCTTACCGTGTTGGCCAGGCTGGTCTTGAACTCCTGAGCTTAAGCAATTCTCCTGCGTCGGCTTCCCAAAGTGCTGGGATTACAGGCTGATCCCCTGCACCTGGCCGCATATCCCATTTTTATGAAGATAGTTTGGTGATCCAAATCTGAATTCTCTTTAACAAAGACCAGCGATGTGGACATCATAAAGCCATTCATTTGCCCACATACAAATGTGTGTAAGGCAAAAGGTAAGGTAAAAGGAGAATGACCCTTCCCTTCTTCTTTCTCCCCACACCAGATAGCAAGGCATGCCGTGTTTGAAATGTTGAAAGCATTCGCTTATAAGATGTCATAACATCTAAAACTATGTCAGCTTCTCACCTCTCCAGGGTTTATAAACTTATGAGTGTTTGGTTATAATCTCAAGGCCTTATTGCCTATGCAGAATCGGTGTAATTTCAGAGAGCAGCTGAAAAGTATGGAATTTCTCTTCCAGTTCCTGTTAGTATCAACAAAAGTTGGCATTAGTAATCCATGTACAGGCGAATGGCAGGCTTTTCACTTTACTCGTCAGTACCACACTCAGCACATTTATTGGGGAACATTTGAGTTGTTAAAAGTTAACAACCATATCATTATTCTTGTGCCTAATGAAAGAGATCTCTGGACATCAAAGCCAGGGTTTAATAACTCCCAAAGGTAGAAGAAAGGCCAACCTATATTATTGTAAAACACTCTTTCAGTTTAATAATGTGCTACTGAAATTAATAAACATGCTACTTCCATCCACCACTGGGGACAGAGGTCTGCAAACCTCACTAATTTCCAGAAAAAGAGTTCTGAGAAACCAACTGGGGATACCAATTTTGTTTTGAGATCTGCCTCATTTTGTTTTCTCATAGAATATAGATATTTCTAAAATTTCTTTTTTGTTGTTGTTTTTTTGAGACAGAGTCTTGCTCTGTCTCTCAGGCTGGAGTGCAATGGCATGATCTTGGCTCACTGCAACCTTCACCTCCTAGGTTCAAGCCATTCTCCTGCCTCAGCCTCCCAAGTAGCTGGGACTACAGGCATGTGCCACCATGCCAGATTAATTTTTCTATTTTTAGTAGAGATGGGGTTTCAACATGTTGGCCAGACTGGTCTCAAACTCCTGACCTCAAGTGATCTGCCTGCCTCGGCCTCCCAAAGTGCTGGGGTTACAGGCATGAGGCACCACGCCTGGCCTTAACATTTCTTAATAAAAGTAAGTATAGTGATTCATACTATCACATAAATTTAAAAATAATGCATGTTGTATTGAATTGATTTGTGTGACCCTGATTCTAGACACTTTTTTTTTTTGAGACAGAGTCCCACTCTGTCACCCAGGCTGGAGTGCAGTGGCGCGATCTTGGCTCACTGCAACTTCCGCCGCCTGGGTTCAATGGATTCTGGTGCCTCAGCCTTCTGAGTAGCTGGGACTACAGGTGCACGCCATTACACCCACCTAATTTTTGTATTTTTAGTAGAGACGGGGTCTAACCTTGTTGGTCAGGCTGGTCTTGGACTCCCGACCTCGGGTGATCCGCCCGCCTTGGCCTCCCAAAGTGCTGGGATTACGGGCATGAGCCACCACACCTGGCCCTGATTCTTTTTTTTTTTTTGAGACGGAGTTTCTCCCTTGTCACCCAGGCTGGAGTGCAGTGGCGCGCTCTTGGCTCACTGCAATCTCTGCCTCCTGGGTTTAAGCGATTCTCCTGCCTCAGCCTCCTGAGTAGCTGGGATTACAGACTCTAGACACTTTAAAAAGTCATTTTGGCCAGGCGCGGTGACTCATGCCTGTAATCCCAGCACTTTGGGCTCCTGACTGCTTGAGGTCAGGAGCTCAAGACTAACCTGGGCAACATAATGAGACCCTGTCTTTGCAAAAACATAAAAATATTAGTCGGGTGTGGTGGTGTCTGTAATCCCAGCTACTCAAGAGGCTGAAGTGGGAGGAATGCTTCAGACAGGAGTTTGAGGCTGCCATGAGACATGATTGTGCTACTGCACTCCAGCCTGGGTGACAGAGTGAGAACATCTCAAAAAATAAATTAAAAAAAAAGAAAAAAAAAGACCAACATGCAATGTTCCCCAAAATTAACAAATTCTAGTGATTCTCCTTCAGAGTGGAAAAGAAGACTCCAAGCCAGGACCCAGCCACTAACAAATTAATTAACGTGGGTACCAGCATCTTATTTCCAGCTCTTTCATTCTAGAGTTTGACTTTGAAGTCATGCCCTATATACAACTATTCCCCCTAGACCTAACCTGGCCAGGGTGTCTAATTTCCTGGCTTTGGCTTAGGAACAGGCCCTTAAGCTGAGCTGGACCAATCAGAGGCTTCCCTGAGATTCTTCTGCCAGAGAGATCAGGAAATGGTTACCTTTCTGCTGGGGTTAGTGCACTCATAGCCTGTATCTGGGGTCTGCAGCATCTTCCCCCAAGAGACAGATGGAGCCGTGAGGTTTCTGGGCTACATGTGCCTAAAGCCAGCTGTACTCTGGCCTCTGTGACCTAAGCCTATGCATTTATCTCTTTTCTTCACTTAATACTAGTTTGAGTTGGGTTTCTGTAACTTACTAATAAAAGACTCAATATTAAAAGTACAAAAATGTGACTTATCAATGAGCTAGAGAAAATAATATAAGAGCAGAAATAATGATAAAGAAAGATATAATAAAAAGGATCAACAAAGCCAAAAAGTAGTTCTTTAAAAAGATTAATAATGGAAAAAAAAGAAGTCCAAATAAATCATATCAGAGATGAAAAGGGGGGACAGATAGAGCAGAGATTAAAAAGATGTCTACAAATGTGAAAATTTACATGCAAATTCTGCAACACTGTAAATGGCCAAAACTGCTGAAGACTAGAAAGTTTAAATGATGTTTCATGTAATAGTTGGCTAAAACTGCTGAAAAAAATAAACTGTGTAAAAGTGTATGAAGTCAGAAATAGGCTTTGAAAAATAAAATAGTTGGAGATTTTAACTTTACCCACCCCAACTAGGCAATATGTTTTAGTGTATAAACTGTTAAGAAATAAGTGAACAAAATCACACCAAAGGAAATCTGCATGTCTATTTTATTTCCATTAGAAAAATATTATCTATATTAAATTTTGGTCCACTTTCTTCTCCTTGACCTCAAATTTAAACACTTAAATTTTACTCAAGAAAGAGCAGAATCACATACCTGACATGAAAACTAAATCGTTCACATCATTAGTTTGAATTAGATATGTTCTTGATTATTTCTCAGGAATAATTACTCTTCTTTCCTACCTGTTATTTCTCTTTTATTTATTGAGTAACTATGTAATGGGTATCTCTTTCCTATATTCAGTAATACAGGTGTAATTTAAAACAGTAACTGGATTCCTTCTCTAATCTTCAATTCATGTTCAACTCTCCCTATTATATGGTATTTCCATAATAACTTCAGATATTTTCATCAAGCTCACACTGTCATCAATTGTGAAAATTAAAAGGTTAATTAAGATGTTACATCAATTGTAAAATTAAAATGTTAACAAGTCCAGACTACAAAGCACTGGCCCACTTATAGTGATGCTGTTGTCAGCGGTCCTTGGACAGCTACTGCTTCGATTTCAATTCGACTACCCTGTGAGGAAAACAAAACAATTTGTTTTAATCATTTTGTACAAATTGCAAACTCTATAATACCTACTAAAAACATGAAACTAATAGCAATATAACATTTTTAACGTTAAGCTTTTCAAGGAAGGAAAGGAGAAGGAAATAGTCACCAAGAATCTATAATAGACCAGGTTACCATGCTAAGTATATTCATATACTATATTAGCTTATATGATTCTCACAGCAGCCCTATTAGAGAGATATTTTCCTGTCAATTCACAGAATGATATGCTGAAGTGTAGAAGGAGTAATTAACTCATCTCAGTCACAAGCTAGATAGCAGAGGTTGAACCCTTGTCTTTTGATTCCAAGATCAGAGCTCTTTCTACTACAACCAGTACCTTAATAGGTCTGATAATGATCATTCCAAGTAACAACTAATTAAAGCAATACAAATTACACTCTTAAAACATAATTTTTCTTTAGTAGAAACTGCAAGTAGAAGTCAGTAAGAGCTGCTTTTTTATAGGCAGGAATATCGTGCTGCTAAGCTTCGAGTTAGAGTAGCAAAATCAAAATGGTGAGAAATATGTGTGCCCCTGGTTTAGAGATGATTTTTCTAGTGGAATGTTTAGATTCCTTTTCTTTCCCCCTTTTTTTTTTTTTTTGAGACGGAGTCTAGCTCTGTCGCCCAGGCTGGAGTGCAGTAGCGTAATCTCGGCTCACTGCAAGCTCCGCCTCCCGGGTTCACACCATTCTCCTCCCTCAGCCTCCTGAGTAGCTGAGACTACAGGCGCCCGTCACCACGCCGGTCTAATTTTTTTTGTATTTTTAGTAGAGACGGGGTTTCACTGTGTTAGCCAGGATGGTCTCCATCTCCTGACCTTGTGATCTGCCCGCCTCGGCCTCCGAAAGTGCTGGTATTACAGGTGTGAGCCATTGTGCCCGGCCTTTTCTCACAATTTAAGTATTTTGATTTTGATTCTATATTCACGTGTTGTCTTAAAAGTTTTTTTTTCATGCATGTAATATAGGGTATTTCCTTTCGTACTTTAAGTCCCTGGGGAAGCAGGATTTATCTCTTTTCTTTTCTTTTCTTTTTTTTTTTTTTAGAGACAAGGTCTCACTGTTACCCAGGCTGCAGCACAGTGGTTCAATTACAGCTCACTGCTGCTGTAATCTTCTGGGTTCAAGTGTTCCTCCCACCTCAGCCTCCCAAGTAGCTGGGACTACAGGTGTGCACCACCACCATGCATGGCTAATTTTAATTTTTTTTTTTTTTGTAGAGATGGCTGTCTTGCTATGTTGCCCAGGCTGGTCTAGAACTCTGGGCCTCAAGCGATCCTCCTGTGTTGGCCTCTCAAAGCATTGGGATTACAGGGGTATGCCACCCTACCCAGGCTACTTCTTTTAAGTTTCCTTTCACAGTGCTTAGTTTACTTATAGAAGGAAAACAATGTAGAAATTGAAAACTGTGTACATTAGTCATTTAAAGTGTACTTACTTTGGGCAAAGCAGCAACTTGGTAAGCAGCTCTAGCAGGAAAATTACCCTTGAAATCTGAATTTAAAAGAATTTCATTTTTTTAATAGAAAAGAGTTGAAAAAATAAAGATCAAGTGAAAAATTTTATTTTAGTTTTCAGATATTGTATTGTTATTCAATATTCTACAATTAAGAATCTGGCAAGTACTTCATATACTAGTCAGTTCTTAGATATAAGCAACATTTTATTTTTATTTTTTTGAAACAGAGTCTCGCTCTGTCACCCAGGTTGGAGTGAAGTGGTGCGATCTCAGCTCACTGCAACCTCTGTCTCCCATGTTCAAGAGATTCTCCTGCCTCAGCCTCCCGAGTAGCTGGGATTATAGGTGTGCACCACCACGCTTGGCTCATTTTTGTATTTTTAGTAGAGATGGGGCTTTGCCATGTTGGCCAGACTGGTCTCAAACTCCTGATGTCAAATGATCCACCCACCTCAGCCTCCCAAAGTGCTTGGATTACAGATGTAAGCCACTGCACCTGGCTTTAAGCAACATTTTAAAAAAGAGGCTCACTATCAGATTTGTTTGATAAAATATTTTGCCATATGATTCCTACCATAGTTAATACTTTTTAAAATCTCTTAGCTTTCTGGCAAAAAAAAAAAGAAATACGTACTCTAACATTTTGATCTTGTTTGATGTGGATTTTTGTTTTTAAAGTGATATTTATAAACTATCTAAATAGGGAACAAGTGCCCATCTCCAGCAATTTTGGCAAGTACTTCCTCTGCCAACTTTGGTCTTTTCTAGTCATTTCTTCAGGAGAGAATAAGTAATGATGCTTTTTCCATGTTATACCTTTGCCTCATCCCACTAGGTGGTGGGGACACCAATTTTCTCCACTATGACATCAATGTTAGTAATAGCTAACATTTACTCAGTGCTTATAACACACCAGCATCTAAGTGCTTTACATGTTGTACTGACTCATTTAATCATTCCAACAATCCTATAAGGTAGGAGTATATTATCTCCATTTTGCATATGAGAAAACCAAGGCTTAGAAATATTAAGTAACTAACTAATGAGTCTGAGAGAGCCAGGATAAAGATGGTGGCTGGACCATACAGCAATAGTAAATAAAACCTATGTGTAAAAAACTTTTTAGGAGAGTTTAAAAAGCCTGAAAAGGGTTTAATGAAATTAAACTTTTGAAAAATGGGTATGTAGGGTTTCACTACATTGTTTTAGGGAATGCAATAGAAATATCTTAGGACTTTTTCATGGGGGGTATACAACCTATTTCCAATCAGATTATTAATTCTTTTAGGACAAGATCTATGACCATTTCTTTAGCATCTCCTACCACTCTTAATTCATAATACACATTCATTAATGTGACCAGATTTATTTCTTTTTAAAAATGGAAAATAGGAATGAAGCCAAATTACTTACACTGTTTGTAGATTTCATTGACAGTATTGAAGTCATTTATGTCAGCCAGAAGAACAGTTGTTTTCACCACTAGAAGATACAAACATTGTCATTAGGTTTAGTTATTTGGTCTGACCCAAAATATTACTTAGAAAAGGACTATATGATTCTGAGACTGTCTTGATTAAAATGGGACTGAAATGGGACCAAAGAAGTGAAGGAGAACAGTTGCTGTTTAAAACAACTTTTAAGTAGCAACAAAGACATGGCACGGCATATTACTGGATGCCATATATTTTTGAAAAAGACCAAAAAAATATCAAAAAGAAATGTGAAATAATATCAAATTGCTCACCATTAGTGAAGTCACAGCCTGCAGCTTTCAGAATTTCACCCATGTTTTTAAGAGCCTGTGAACCAAGCCAAGAAAGGCCTAAGTCACTGATATTAGATTTAAAGCTTTAATTACATTCAATTAATCATCTTTTACTAATACCTCCTTAAATAGCTTATGTTGCAGAAAAATCTTCTCTACTCTTGTTAGGAAGCTTACAAGTGTGTTTCTTGGCTTCCCTTTAATAGAATGAGTCTTTCTGAAATACAGTGAGAAGGTTGTCTCCTTTTGTGCATAAAAAGACTGGGTTGAAGTCCCTTCTTCAGTGCTAAAATGTGTTAATTGTTCGGCCAATGTCCACAGAAATAATTTCTGGGGTTCTTCATTTGATACCACTTCAAGGATAAGGATGAGCTAGTAAGCATTAAAACATGTTTTCTTTTAAAGCAATATTTGACTTTAAAGGGTTCTTTTTCCTTTTTCTCAAAAAATGATATTAGTAAATTATATAACTGTTTGAGACACTGGCTTCTGGAAAAGCATCTTTTTTTGGATTCATTCTTCCTTCCCACTTTGCTGGTCACAATGTAATATTTCATTATATTCTTGTGTCTTTTAAAATAATCTTCTAAATAGGTAATACATGGATATGGCAACAACAACAACAACAAACTCAAAAGCTATTAAAAAAGCATATATAGTGTAAAGATCTCTCTCACCCTTCTCTCTCTCTCCCATGTTTCCCACCTCAGAGGTAACCACTGTTCCTAATTTATTGTATATCCTTCTAGGTACAGTCAATGCTTATGTTACATATTTTTAAACATAAAAGCACACACGGTAGCATACTGTGCATGCTGTTCTGCATCTTGGTTTTATTACCATGAAACAATTTACGGTGGAGATCTTTCCATATTACTTTAGTCGTATTGATCTAGCATAATTTATTCAACCGGTTCTTTATGAGTGGACATCTAGGTTTTTAAAAATCTTTCAGCTAGGCCAGGTCCGGTGGCTCACGCCTGTAATCTCAGCACTTTGGGAGGCTGAGGTGGGTGAAGCATGAGGTCAGGAGATCGAGACCATCCTGGCTAACACGGTAAAACCCCATCTCTACTAAAAATACAAAAAAATAAGCCAGATGTGGTGGCGGGCACTTGTAGTCCCAGTTACTTGGGAGGCTGAGACAAGAGAATTGCTTGAACCTGGAAGACAGAGGATGCAGTGAGCTGAGATCACGACACTGCACTCCAGCCTGGGCAACAGAGCGAGGCTGTCTCACAAAAACAAAACAAAACAAACTTTCAGCATTATATGACTCAGTAAATGCATAAAATTATAGTTTATTGTTTTATTTTATTTTACTTTTTGAGACAGTGTCTTGCTCTGTGTCCCAGGCTGGAGTACAGTGGTGCGATCTTGGCTTACTGCAACCTCCACCTCCCAGGTTTAAGTGATTCTCCTGTATCAGCTTCCTGAGTAACGGGGACTACAGGCATGTGCCACCTCACTGGGTTAATTTTTTTTTTTCTTTTTTTTTTGAGACGGGGTCTTGCTCTGTCGCCCAGGCTGGAGTGGAGTGGCGCGATCGAAGAGTTGGAAATTTGATGGACCATGAATCATCTAACAACCAAAAGAGAGATTCCACCTCCTTAACACTAAAGTCACCTTAAACCTGAATCATTGACATCAGATGACATGCTGCCACTTCTACATGGATTGGGAAATTTTCTTTTCAGGGCCACTGACCTGCCCCTCTTAAAAAAAAAAAAAAAAAAATTACCACCAGAGAAGTAAAAAGTCAACATTTACAAAAATAAGCATGTGGAATATATAATTCTAATTATATGTTGCTCACTGCAACTTCCGCCTTCCAGGCTCAAATGATTCTCATGCCTTAGCCTCCTGAGTAGCTGGGACTACAGGCACATGCCACCACACCTGCCTAATTTTTGTATTTTCAGTAGAGACAGGGTTTCACCATGTTGGCCAGGCTGGTCTTGAACTCCTGACCTCAGATGATCTGCCCACCTCAGCCTCCCAAAATGCTAGGATTACAGGCGTGAGCCATTGTGCCTGGCCTCCCCTGGCTAGTTTTTGTATTTTTAGTAGAGATGGGGTTTCACCATGTTGTCCAGGCTAGTCTTGAACTCCTGACCTCAAGTGATCTGCCAGCCTCGGCCTCCCAAAGTGCTGGGATTACAGGCGTGAGCCACTATGCCTGGCCTACATTATGGTTTAATTATATTTATTGGATTAGAATTATATTCCCCACCATGCTTATTTTTAAAAATGTTGACTTTTTACTTCTGTGGTGGAAATTTTTTTTTTTTTTTTTTTTTTTTTTTTTTTTTTTTTTGACGAGGTGTAGGTCAGTGGCCCTGAAAGGAAAATTCTCCTATCCCTTTGGAAGTGACAGCATGTCATCTGACGTCAATGATTCAGGTTTAAGGTCACTTTAGTGTTAAGGAGGTAGAATCTCTCTTTTGGTTGTTAGATG